GGCTAGTTTGTACGACTGTGGCACAAACTTTGCCTGACAAAGGTTTGCCTCGACTACGATTACCGGAATGAAGTTGAGGAACAATAAAGATATCTTTGTAAGGGCTGAGACGAGGAAAACGTTGAACGTTTGTTTCTGGCATTTACGACGATGCAAACTGTTTCTTGCAGTTTCATTAAAATGAAAGCTACCGTGAACAGCTGGTAATTGGTGAAGAAACATTTGAAATTTTCGTGTCTCTGGAGAGCACAATTCCAATTGGAACTATCCGTTTTATCGAACGAATTGCGTTAATCGTTGCTCCATATGACGTTTACAGTTTATTTCCCTTTATTAGGTTCACTAACCGAAACTTATCTCCTTTTTGTCTTACAAAATTCTATTTCTTGGCTCCATTATATATTTTACCGATAATTATGTGCTCCAATTTGCATTTTGCAATACTTTTATATTACTCTCGCCGTCCGTGAGAATAATTCTCTTTCATTTTCGTTCAGCAAATTGAAATTGAAGAAACGAGAAATTGCCTTTTGCGTATTTTACGTCTCCTCAATAATCGAGAAGCTTAAACTTTACGTCGCGATTATTTTTAGCTCGAAACTTTTCTTCTTTCGTCCAGAGACTTTATTTAAAGGAGATTTACTTAGAAATTTCTTTAGCTTGAAATATCTATTATTCAAATTGAGAGAAATATATTCTCTCAATTTTATGGATATTGTTTAACTTGTGCTCGTACGAAATAGATGTGTAATGGCGGTTTAAACGAAAGGTCAATGGATATGTGCATGGTAAATATATCTCACGACAAGAAACTCGAATATCATTATCATATCTCGATATACGACAGATTTGTAATTGTAAGTTTGTTGGATATACTTTGTTAATGGACCCGCATCATTTTGTTTAATTTCTGCACCATTTGGATTACGATCGTGTGTCGTCGAGTAAATTTTATACGTTTTGCCTCATGCGTACAATCCATTATCAGATTTACAGTATATGATCTTCCTCTACCTACGCAATATAGAAATTCTATTCTAACAACAACAATAACGATCAGACATTCCATGTAAGTTCATTAAAGATATTATTATTTTATCGTAGATAAACCAGAGAGAACTTTTATTATTAATGGATGGATCTCTGTTTCTCTTACTGTCAGTTAATAAAATATCTAGCATCTCTTTATTTTCCAAGATATATAGAAAATAAACACTCGAGATTGCACATTATTTCTCATCTTTTAAATAAAGCTAAAAAGCTTGTACGAGTTTTAAGTTATAAAGATCTATAGTTTTATTCAAACTTAATTAAACGAACATTTTCAACGCTTCGATTGAAGATGGTGGAAAAGCTCAGTTTCGGAAGACGATCGAATATTGAAAAGAAAGAAAGAAAGAAAGAAAAAAAAAGAAAGAAAAAAGAAACACGAAGAAAACGAACGATCGAAAGATAATTTGTCATCCGATAAAACAATGATCGATGAGAGTGATTTTTGATTGTTTTTAAAATCAGCGGAATGGAAAGTTTATTCTGGAACTCGTGGGGGTTGTAAAGTCAATTGGCCGGAAGGGAAACGAAGAGATTGGGAAACGATGCGTCGTTTAGAGAATCATGCAGGAGATGTTATTTATCGGTTTTCAGGGAATCGATTTCTTCTTGAACGCCATATTTACACCGATTTGTGACGTTGTTTTATCTGATCGTTGGGTTTCTCACCCGTCTCACACGATTAATCGCCCCGTGACGTACTCGTTGGATTATCACGATGATCGATCGCCACCACCGACGACCGATTAGAACTGTCATCGTCGATAACGGCGGATTTCCATTACGATGATGGAAATAAAAGGGCATCACGTCTTTCGGATCGCGTATATATATTTGTGGCTAAATGTCGCGTGGACGTCTTTTTCAAAACGAATGGAAGGAGAAATGGAGAAAAAAAAAAAAAAAAAAAAAAAAAAA